CTCCAGTCCCCTAATCATCTTTGTTGATCTTCTCTGCACTCTTTCCAGAGTCTCCACATCTTTTCTACATCATGGCGACCAAAACTGGATGCAATATTCCAAGTGTGGCCTCAGGCAGATAGGATTTTTATGTTTAAATTTATCTTCATGAATTGCCTTTCTCCGCAAACAGTGTGACTCACAGTTCCGAAGAGCACTCATTTTGTGTATGCCTGTGTTATTGTCTAACACCATGATGGCGAACCTATGGCATGCATGTCGGAGGTGGCACGCAGAGCCCTCTCTGTGGGCACGTGTGCCATCGCCAGCTGCTTTTCTGGATTCCATTGCGGGTATGTGCACCAGCCAGCTGGTCTTTGCGCCGGAACCCAGAAGAGAGAAGCTGCCCGGCGCGCATGTGCGTGATGGAACCTGAAAGAGCAGCTGGTCACCTGCTCTCTTCCAGGTTCCGGCCCTCTGGCGCACACACACAGACACACACATGCACCAGTTTTGGCATTCAGTGCCAAAAAGGTTAACCACCACTGGTCTAGCACATAACAATGACGTTATAAATCATGAACTGGATAAGGGATGGTGGTAAATCAATTTAGGATAACACCCTAAAGTTTATTTCAGAAATGGTTTCTTCTACTTATTCTGTAACATATTTTCTATGCACGTTTAGTGAGTGATCACTTTTGAATCGAACAGAATTTACTCCTGTTCCAACATTAAGTTACAGTTCTATTCAAATGATTTCTTCTAATAGAATACTACGATGCTGGAGTTTTTTTCCCCTGGGGCGGGCCAAAAAGAAATTACTAGTGTCTATATTTTCACAATCCTCCTAGGCATTCTTTAAGACTACAAACTTTTTCTAATTTTGATGCCTTCTAGATTTGTGGTCTTCCACACTCTGGTTTTTGGTGAGAATTATCAGATTTGGAGCCCACAGATCTGAATGCACATCTGGGATGTGGCGGTATCACCTGATGATGGGTGAGAGAAGAAAAGAAGTGGCTTATAAAAAGGGGGGGGGAAGAGATTAGGTTTTTTGGTCTCCAGCAACTTATAGGAATACTCTTGGGAGGGAAAGGATGACTGCCATGACATATCACTCTGTAAATTTTACTGAATAGAAACTTCCTAGGAAGATGGTTTTCCCATCAACTAAAGTTTGATCCTTTAAAAACAGGAGAGAAAGGATTTAAAGAGAATGGGGAAGAAGAAAAATATATCCTTTCCCCATTTCTCCTGTGAAGCTTTGATTTACACTAAAAAATCCTGCAGCTTCTTATTTTATTTTGCTTGGAATGGCAAAAATGAAAAAAAAAAAGATTAAGATTTTACTGCAATATCTTGTGGAAGATCCCACTTAGTACACATGTCACTTAAATACTATTTTCCATCATAAAAACTTCAGCATGACCAGGACCAGAAATGGCACAGAGAGGAAAAGCTTTCTAAATTCATCTTGCTCAGCTTGAAGTCAGTCGTTGGCAAAATCCATTAAATCAGATTAATATAATGGAAAAAAATTAATGTAACAGGACATTTGAGCTGTGAGATAGTAAGTTTCACCTACCTTTAGGATATATGGAAGTGGCTCATCAGTGATGTGACTTGACAAGTGTCCTTGCCTCTCACCCAAGGAAACAAGCAGCATGAACAATGAATGATGTGATTGTATGTGGAGCAATGCATACACATGAATGAGAGAACTTCCATTTCAGAGATAGATTCTTGAATTGGCAAAATTAAAATATTGTGATCGATTGGGAGAGCAAGCTGAATGTCACAGGAGCAGCAATCGAACTGGCTTTCTCTTCTGAAACTTGCTTTTTGTCACCCAACTTCCTCTGTGCCCAAGACTGCATTTTCTCAATCATTAGAAGTGTTTTATCCTTTATATAGAGTGAACAGCTTTAAAAGGTATCTACTGACCTCAGTGAGAAGTTTCATATTTGAAGAGGAGTGATGGATGTCTGTAAATATGTGAGCGTATTGACTGATTCTGTACTCAACTGAATTATTTCACTCTGGCTCCCAAATACTTGTCAGCAGCAGCAGCAGCAGCTTGTGAAAAGCAGATCTCTCTTCAAACATTATACTGTTCATCTTATAGCTGGCATGCTAAAACTGCGCCTGCCAAATGCAGTGGTCCCTTTTGACCAGGTGACCTTGTGTTGCAACCCATCTCTTTCAGCTGTGCTCAACGTGCAATACTTGTCTTGACTTGTATATTGCTTACCTTGTGGTGCCTCCTTTTCCTTCTGAACCTGAGTAGTTCTTTGTGCTGCCGGGACACAAAGTTAACAGCAGCATACTCTAGCAGAGCTGAGAACACAAACAGCAGGCACACAGCCATCCAGATGTCAATGGCTTTAACATAGGAGACCTGAGAGAGAAAAGCATATGCGGTTTTCTTAGTAGTGCATCACTCAAATACTCTCTAACAAGATCAACACGATAGATTCCAAATTCTCCAGCTGGCCTTACTCAAAACACACCACTCTGCCCTTGACAATCATTGCCCTTTGATGTAAACTCTCTGCTGCCCTTTCCATATAATAATCACTAAGCTTCACTATGGGTAGTTGAAATAGTAACCTGTTGGCTGGATTCAAATATATCGCTATGCCATAATAGGATATATTTGCTTTTGGCTTTATATATTCTGAAACTCATAGTTATAAATCAAGGCTTATGCCTGGACATAGGCATTATATCTGTCATTTCACCTTCTCTGTTGACACATTTATGGTTGCATGAGCTTTTGCATATACAGTCCAATTCATTACATAGTGATTCACATTTACACAACTGCGTCTTAACCACTTTTGTTTTTTGTTGCAAATGAAAGGGAAAAAAAACCTCACTCCTTTCCTCTAATAATATTGCTCTTATATCTATTTTTAGAACCCTAAATCTCATTGGAGGAAAGTTCTGGATCATACCATATAATTACTGTTAGAAAGATTGAGAGCCCCCTTTGTATCCTCTAATGGTAGCTTCCTGGCTGACCCTGTCTTGCTTTCAAAGCTAAGCAGATTGGGGTAGATGGGAGAGTTTCAGGACACATTTCCCAGACTGGACTGGAAAATAAAAAATCTTGGAAGAAGCAAATGGCAAACCATTTTGTACTCTTAGTAAGGAAACAAATGGAAATATCCATGAAGCTACCAGGAATTGGGCTTGAGTTACTTTATTTGCAGGCTACTTTGGTGAAGAGATTGCGGTTCTAATTAGGTCAATATATATTTTAAATACATTGCGGGGGGGGGAGTTAATTTCTAATGTGAAACTAACATATTCGTTACTACCATAAGGGAGAGAGTCTTACAAGAGTATTATTAGAAAAGTTTCCTTAACAAGACGGTGGCAGTGTAAAAAGTGAACCAAAATCTGATGATGTTATTTAGTCTGATAATGAAATGTCTGGAAGAAAACCATCAAGGTCAGAGAGCACAAAGGATGCCACAAAACAAAAACTTTATCCATTTCCAGAGATTGCTCTGATTCTCCATCTGTTCCTTCAATTAGGAAAGAACTATACATTGCTTTATAAATATTATACAGAACTTGCACCCTGCCTTTCTCCCAAAAATAATTATTAATGAGAACTTGCCAGTGAACTCAGGTGAGAAAGAAGAAACTGGTATTATAATATGTTTGATGAATATTAGTAAACTAGTAACCCTTTCTAAATAATATGATTCATGAATGCAATTGTTCTAAAAGTACAGTAATTGAATTGAATACAACTGAAATGATATTTTAGTATCTATGGCGATTCTCCGTCATCTAGGTCATGGTTGTCCCAAAGATGCTTTTTCAAAAGGCAACTAGACTTTCTTGGTTATCTTCCTTGAAAATGTTTCTCTTCTCATCCAAGAAGCTTCTCCAGTTCTCAACTGAAGCAACTTGTTGGATGAGAAGGGAAACATCTTCAAGAAAAAACAAGAAAGTCCAGTTGCCTTTTGATATTCTACTATTTGAAACAAAATATTCCAATGTTCATAAAACATAGTGATTGTTCACTAAAATCACATAGGTTTTTTTCCCCAAAATTCTAATCTTCTCTATCTGTTTAAACATTTTTTTCAGTTTCTCTTCCTGCTCTTACTCCCAAATAAAAGTATTTAATAACCTCAAGGGAGCATATTTTTAACTTTAGGCATCTTATGAGTACAAATGAAAACAAATAAGCAACAAATTGTGCTACATCTTTCTAACACTTATTTTTTTCTGTAGTTCTACTGCATATATAAATTACAGGTTTAAAGTTATGAAGATGCTAGGATATTTCTACTATTTTACTACTGACAATTTTGCAAACAAGGCTAAATCCTAATTATTAAGGGCACTAAAATAATTCTAGATCAATTTCTAGTAAATTAAATACACATTTCAAACCTTAAAAAGGAGAGATATGCCCATATGCTAGATCTGGGTAGAGGATTTGGAACATGGTAGTAAATGCCTTTAAAGTATTATCTAATATGTGAATTTCAACTTTGATGAATATTTTCTACTTTAATTGGGAATGGTTCTTCTAAGGTTCTCAGTGGGGAATCTTTGCTATCATCTCTTCCAAATCCTTCAAATTGCTGCTGTCAATTTTTGGAACTTCATTCCAGCACAGAAGGGTCAACATTGGCTCTTTATAAGAATAATTTGTTACCTTGGGCAAAGATGCTCGAGAACCAGAACTTTGTGTGGTCATTGTGAGCACTGTAGTGATACCCAGACCAACTCGGGCAGGTGCAGCATCCATGTTGATCCAGAAAGAGATCCAGGAAAGAATTACAATCAGCAGGCTGGGAATATACATCTGGATCAAGTAGTAACCCATCTGCCTCTCCAGATGAAAACGGGCTTCTATGCAGGTGAATTTGCCTAGGAATTACAGGAGCCTTCATTAAAAAAATGAATCTTAAGAAAGACACACCATGAACATATTTCTTTCTTAGCATTATAATTCTCTTTGCGATGATCATGTCATTCCTAAGCCTGGGCATACGTTAATGGACTGTGCCACACCAGAGATTTCTGTGGGATTAATCATAACATGCTTTATCTTATGGGAAAGGTTGTTCTTTAGTAGCAGACAAGCTTTATTCTTTATTCTAAGTTCTTAATAATACTGCAGGGCTAACTCATTGCTCACTTCAGGAGTTCGATTTGGAGTGGCTCAAGGTTGACTCAGCCTTTCGTCCTTCCAAGGTCAGTAAAATGAGGACCCAGATATTGTTGGGGGCAATATGCTGATGCTGTAAAACACTTAGAGAGGGCTGTAAAGCACCGTGAAGCGTTCTAAGTGCTATTACTATTATCAATAAAATAATATTTTTGCAGAAAACACACACACACACACACACACACACACACACACACACACACACACACACAGAGAGAGAGAGACAGGGGTGAAAAAACTCTAAGCATACCATAGACCTAACATATTTAAGAAATGAAACAGACAAATCTAAACTCCTTAGAATTTACCCGAAAAAGGTAGTCTGTTCAGAAGAAAAAACTACCTCTGTGTAATGTATCAGCCAGCTGTAGCAGTGTTGCATTAGAGGCATTGCTAACTCAATGGTAGATGGCTGGTTGAAAAGACTGAATGAGAATCTTGCCTGTCTTGATAATTTCCACGGAGAAATGCTTAATGTGGATCTGTCGTCACTAACCTGTGTTGTAATGTTTTGTGCAGTAGCGCAAGTCCTTTTCTTCCTTCAGGATGAATTGTGGCAGGGTTAATCCGTCAGCAACCTGCACAGCTCCTTTCTCTTGCCACTCAAATATCAGATCATTCATTGTATAACCAACTGTGGAGGCCAAAGCAGGAAAGGAAATCAGCATTCATTAGAATGGATGGTCACTGCAGATCAGTGAGTGACAAGATTAACAGTAGAAGTATGGGTTAGTTTTTACTAAAACCACAAGCTACTGGAACTGTATATATAGGGCTGGTGAAGCCACACAATAAAATGGAGAAACTCAGCAACTCCAGTTTGTTCTATCCTCTCCTTACCTAATGTACAAGAGTATATAATATTTATTAGGCCAAAGGATATATTTGGCTTTTTAACGACATGCCAAAGGCCACAGTGCAAAGAATTATGGATGAGGCCAGAGCAAAACTAAGTTTACTGCATTCAATAATTTCCTCCTTCTGTCATATTACAACTTGATAACAACCTTCTAAAGTTGTGCTAAGACTTTTGGAGTCACATCAATGCAGTACTGCAGGCTACTTCTGTTGATTGCAGGCCGCCTGCAATTTAGCAGTTCAAATCTTACCAGGCTCAGGGTTGACTCAGCCTTCCATCCTTCTGAGGTGGGTAAAAGGAGGACCTAAATTATTGGGGCAAATATACTGACTCTGTAAACTGCTTAGAGAGGGCTGTAAAACACCGTAACACTATATAAGTCTAAAATGCTATTGCTAAGTGCTGTCTGCCCTCATTCCCTAGTGTTCCATAGAAGACAGAAGTGGCTCGGATGCTTTTTCTTCTTTCCTCCACACTCTCTACAGTAACTGAGGGATTTGGTTAGGAGCTGAAAATATGATGTGCCATGTATATGAGTATCCATACTTGCTCCTGTGTAGAGTGGCAACTTTTTAGAGGAGAAACATCAAGACTCACAGCTCTCTAGTTGCATAATACACGTCTGGACATCCATAGGGAAGTTCTTTAGATCCATGGGACAAGCCAGAGTCAGGGTTATTCTGTGAAGGGAAGAGAAAGAAACTTACTTCTAGCCATTTCTAGCTGAGGAATAACAAGCCAGTGTCAATGTTATGCTAAAATTTGTAGGCCAATCTTAGGCCTGGGAGAAAGGGAAATATGCCAATCTAGATACATTAGTCTGATTATGAATATAGCTTGTTACCATTTCATCTTCGCTCTCATTTCTTATGATTCCTTTATTTTTATTTGCTCTTCCATAAATAAATACTATATTTTTCGGAGTATAAGATGCACCTTTCCCCACCAAAAAAGAGGGAGAAAATCTGGGTGCATCTTATACACCGAATACAGCATTTTTTGACTCCCCAAACTCTGCCCCCACACATCCTTTTTTTCCCCCCCAAAAATGGACATGCAGAGCGTTTGAGAAGCATGCAAAGTGCTTCTGGGGGCTGGGGAGGGCAAAAACAAGTGAAAAACCATTTTTTGCTCATTTCTACAAACCCCCCCCCCCCCCCCCCC